ACTAAATTTTGTGAATATACTGATAAATCAGCCAGGGACGACAACGTTTCTCCGGGACCCACGCTGACTATACCCATGATATTCCTCTCGTCTCGTCATTCGGATACATATCTTTTCTTCTACTCTTTCACTCTCACTGTCCTTCCGACAAACACTCAATTTAGATCTGTGTCTACGAATCTTCCCAAGCTCGACCGGTAAGCATTCTTTTTACTCGTTTGATTTGGTATAAATTTGGGAATAATAATTTCTTTTAAGGTCGTTTGACTGGGGACAATTTGTCTGATTTGACTGAAATGGTTTTGGATTGAGATCTGAGTTTTTCGAAGTTTTATAGTTTTGTTGAAGTAAATGTAGTGTATGATGGTTCTGCATTATGTACATTTGTGAAAATTGAGGGTTCTCGTTTACTTGAGTTATTTTCTTTCTTTCTTTCTTTTTGGTTGAAATATTGTATTTTAGCACGTAAAAAATTGAAATTGTTAAGTTGTTATCTTGTTGTGTCCTTGACTGGGTATAGCAAAGTTGCTCCAATGCTGTGTTAAAGACGATTCTTTTTCCTTTTAGTGCAAGTTAGACGGTTCAAGTGAGGTTAAAGTTAAAATAAGGATTTTCGTTGTAGTCTTTATTTGTTTGCAAGATTTTTCTGGATTTAGACTTCGTGTTATTGATGGAAATTAACAAATTGACTGCAAAACGTAGCTTGTATCAGCAATGTTGTGGGAAACGAAAAAGGATAAGAAAATAGAGAAGGGATAGTCTTTACCTGATGGAACAGCATCCAGGAAAGAAGGCAATTTACTGTTTCATAGATGAAGTTATCTCAGGTTTTATAGTGACGTGGGTTTTTTCTTTTAGTTGGTCTTGATTACGAGTGTTGCCAGTTTTTTTATGCACTATGCTATGGCTTTTTGGGCTTGGTTATGTCTGTAATATTTCTCTGCATTGTATCCTTTTAAGATATATTTATTGGGTCATATAAAAGAGTGAGTTTTAATATGAATTTTCTCTCAGGTTTGTTTCGAGCTAAAGCTGATGGCAGCAGTGGATGCTGAAAAACCTCTCAGTGGGCAAATTACGTGTGGTT